ATCCGTGGACTAGTCGCTCCCGGCCCCCGACGCATCGGAATTGTAATCCGGGATTGGCGTGTTCCCTATGTCGTTTCCATTCTTCAAGTTTTGAGGAGCCTTCAATGTGTCGGTGATGAAGTCATATAAGTCAGACAAGATGGAGTTAATTCTGTCGTTCGACATCATGTTATGATCGCGAAACAGGGGCTCGAAGAGAGACTTGATGAAAGCGCGATACGTGTCGATAATGGTCCGTATTTCACGAACTATGATATCCACCAGAAAATTTCTGCTCGTTTTATGGTCCTGCATCATGCTGACTGTCGCGTTTCTTATCATAGTCAGAAAATCGACCACCGTCTTAGTCTGCATGAAGGTGGTGTTCTTGAGATCGTCGGCCAAATTCTTCGCCTCCTCCACGAAGTCCGCTAATAGTAATATATTATTGTCGTCTACATCTTTGACGTCTACCCTCGGGATGGCGATGTGCGCATTCGCTGCACACACCACGGCTACCTGTGATATCGCGAAAGGAGAGCGTGTTTATTCATCCGTTATTTGCGTGTTACGCGGATAGAGGAGACCGGGTCGTATTTTGCGATTATATTAGAACGAACGAACGATAACTGTCACAAAGAGACGTAACGATTTCGATTTGACAAACACTGTTTTGTTTTTCTTTTTTATTAGATACACACGGACGTAACATCGGAAGATTGCCGCGACAGAAATCGACAGGTGAGAACTTACAGTGAGGAGGAATATCTTTGTCGCCCGCATGATTTTTCTTCTCTCGAAAAACTGATACGCCGAAATTCACGAGCTGTGTCACACACAATACGCGCAAGAATTTCGGCTGTTAGCCTATATATCAACCGGTTGCTTCACAATGACTCAGCATTCCATATCTTGAAATTATTCGTTGTAAGGCATCGTTTGTGAATCCGGCGGACAATAAATTTTATATTCGTTACGACGAATGATTTCGCGCGGAGTTTTATATCATCGTCGCGCTGAGGCAACGAGAGTAAATCGCTGTCACGCCGGGTAACGTTGATTTATCGCGGGGTAATTTGGATTCTACGAGCTTCTGACAATTTTCCTCTTCTTCGCGATTGGTGTGAAGCTCGGGTTGCGCGAGACTGTGTCGTCGTCCGTGTTATCGGAAGTCGGCCCGGTATGCAAATACTCCCGTTGGCTCTTAAGCTCTGTCTTGCCGCGATATACCTCGTCCAACGTGAAAGCCACGGCCACGAGCAACGACACGCCGGCTAAGATGATCCACATGCTCAGCTCCAGCGCGACCTAAGACGTTGAGCCAGATATGTTAAATATTTGTGATCTCCCTCGGGATCGTAATATCAAATAGTTACGGAAAGCTTCACCTCGAAGGTCGCTCTCAAGATAATTAGCAAGTGACGCCTCTCGGAGAGCCATTTCCAGATCGTGAACGGCAGTAACGTCACGGATAGTAAACACTCAAGTACGTATATGACGATCGTAAGGACGATTTTCTTCACCTCGAGCGGACTCCATGCTTTCATACGCATCCTGACACGTGTCGTAAATCGGAGCGTAAATAAATCTTCCTCCGGGTATATATATATTGGGTCATCAGTAATATATATAATATATAGGGTATCAGTAAAACAGTTGGATTTGCAATAAATGGTGTCACATACGCGTAATAAATGGACCGTTGGCGGAGTAACGCGGACAACTTTTCAATGGCCCAGTGCGTAGCAAACTTTTATCAACGAATTCTATGCGGAAATACTTATTATGCTAATTCTTATCGTTGAAATTCGATCACAGAATAAAACATTATAACAATATCTATTATATAATATAAGTGTAAATATTTAAAGAAAGTGACTTATTGCAGGAAAGGTTAACAAGCCAAATTGACTGTTTTTACTTACACGCTCGTTGGTTTCTTAATGACACATTTTTTTCTAATTAAATTACTTATCACCACCGATGAATTTATCCCGCGCTGGATTCTACAGCATATTACGATTTGATCCTAGCCTGTATATTATCAAACTGTATATTATCAAATTGGTCGCGAGAAATTAGAATCGATCTCTCCGCAGCATTTTAGTGTCCGCCATTCGTTTAACCGCACAGCCAATTTTTACTCGATCATAAATCGAAGGAGGATCGAGCGAATTTTATTACGCGAAAATTACGCAAGCATATGCAATCTGTCGTCCATTTATGACACAACTGTCAAACGATTTACGTGTTTGTTATCAGTGGCTGAACGCCAGAAGTATTTATAACTTCTCGAGATTCTAATCTCGTTGAAACATCATCGTAACTTTCATCGAAATGTATATTTACTCTTATTAAATATCACGCAATCTGCAATTCAAAACTGTAATCAGTTCACGAGTTACGGCTGCGCCATAAAAATATATATCCGTGCGCAAATGCGAATAAACGTCTCCGTGCGGCATTAAGAATTTATTTACTTAACAGCGATCTACACACACGTCTTACTGCAATAAGTAAGTCCACACGACTCGTCGTTAGAATAAACTAAGATCGTCATCTAAAATTAACGCTAACTTTTATAATACTTTTCGGTATTGCGCATGAAAATAACGAAGTCATGGCTAATGCGCACGAAACGCGAAGCATCGCGATTCGCGACACGCTGAAAACAGCGATTGCTCTACGATACATATGCACGAACAAACATTCCTAACAATTCTAAACAGCATCCTTTTTTAATCTTCGATTAAGTGAATATCTAGGCCGGCCTTCATAGTTCAAATGACCTTCATGTTCGAATCTTATATTTAAGGTTATCTTAAATTCATCTTCAGATGCTGCGTAGGCAATAAACGAGCCGTGTAGCCTCTGAAGATGAACTCAAGACGATCTTAAATATAAAATTCGACTATGGCCGGAATTCATGATCTGATTTTACATTTATGGTGGATTTAATTTCATTTTCAGATACTCCATAGCCAATGAAACGGCCCGTACGGTATCTTAAGTTGAACTTAGACGATCTTAAATATAAAATCAGATTGTGCGACAAAAATTAGACTGAAATTAACGATATATATTCTCGTATATAAGCGAGAATATTATAATTTTCTCACAAGATTTTTGGAAGATTTTTCATTTGGTTGAATTTGTATCGATGCAAGTATTACTTGTGCTCAATTTGAGACTAAAAATCTTCTAAGAATATGATAATATTCTTGCTTATATATGATAATATCTGTCATTGATTTAAAACTATTTTTTGCCGTGAACGAATACCGTCCTTAGCTTAGCTTCCATCGGCCGAAGAACACGTCGAAATGTGAATCCGTCATCGCTGAACGAATCAACGAACCAGTCGATGATCGCAATAATGGTGACTCGGGTGCCGATGGAATCTGTGCGTCAAGTTTCTCGAATGCTTCCGCTTCTGCCTGGCGGCCTGTTGGTGCCTATAGACGAAGAGCGGCCTGAAGATCTTGGAGTCCTGCGCCTGCATGTCTTCCGCCTCGCTGGCGACATTCTCCTCAACCTTGTTCGCGACTCCCTCTCGAACAGATCTCCTCGCTCTGGCTGCGATCTCTTCGCTCGATCCTAATCTCGCAGGCTGCCGATTCACGGCTGCCGCTGAAGGCAGTCTCTCGATAAAGCCGTTGGTCGCTACATTGTCCTTCGGCATTCCGTAAGCTTCCACCTGCGAACAATGCGGCGTATTAATCGCTGCTGCGCTCTGTGTAAAACAATTCTTCGAGAATCGCCGATCAAGGCCGGCAATGTGAAGATAAAAATCTGCAAAACTCATTTAATACATTTATCAATTCCATACAAATTTCATATTCATGTATTATTAATTCACATATAAATGATGAATAAATAAACGTTCATCAATCTCGGGGAATTTATGAACGTACAAATTCTTCCTCGCAAATAAAATTCGCGACGATTAATTAATCGAAAATAAACACTCACCAGTCGGCCGCTCTTCGGAGCCTCGTTGAATCGATCCTCCCCCATGTATACCCTCTCGATAACGCCGTTATCTTGCAGGCGGTTCCTCGGCAGACCGTACGCGCGAATGCCCGGTTTATCCTCCTCGGAATCTAAATGGATCTTTCGCACCTCGCCGTCTGATCCAGTTTGATTGCGACTCTGCAGTCGCCTGACGCGCTTCTCGTTATCTGGGGATTTGCGCGATCGCTCGAAATCGGTCCGGCCGATTGCCGGTCGGTCGGTGAGATTCGGCGCGATGTTTGCACGCTGTCGGTCACGCAACTCGCTCCGGCTCAGCGAAATAATCGCTAGCAAAAGTAACTGAAAAATGGAAGAATAACGACGAAACTGGCGGAGCAATAGTTGGTTTACATTTGTTTATTCCATTCGTATGTTCTTTATCGATTGGCACGGTTGACGCTACGCGGATACGCGAGTATTTATCTCTCGCGGTCTGCCGCGATAGCAGTCTTAATCGAGTAAAAATGCGGAAGATTACGCGTTTCGTATGCACTCCGATAACGTTTACCTAACGGGCAAAAAATGTCGCTTCCGTGACCTTAGCGGAAAAACAATTTAGCAAGATCCGCTGATAAGAAACAAACAAGTTTCCCGGTTCATACGATGTTCCAGTTAATTCTCTCGCAATATAAAAGACAATTAAATAGGGCTTCATTAGCGTTTCCATTTTTTATGACGATCGATTAAGCGAAGCATACATTTACGCCCGCTGCAATTTAGAAAGTTGTTATCGACAAGAGCGAATTAATTATTCAAGTCGCGTTTCGCGCAAATAGACTGAAAATTGAGGCATATTCGACGTGCGATATTTTTGCAGAAAAAAAAGCAGTAGTCATGATTTAAAAGTAGTTTGACGATGAAGACTATTGACTTTCTTTGCTGTCAAAAAACATTGGAAATTTCAATCCTTTAGATTTCCGCGATGTGAATAATTGATTTGGCTTCTGAGTTAGCGTCGTGCCTCATTTCGTGGATTTGTTTCCGACATTTCATGAATATTTCAGTTCGCTTTTTCAAGATAAGGTACGACCTGAGATTGTCTAACTCGGAAGCCAAAACCAAGTATTGCATATTTCGGCTGAAGAAAAATGAATAGTACAAATCCCAATGGGAAATTAGATTAATGAGAGGAAAATAAAGAGGGCGAATTCTAATAGAAAATTGGATTAATGCAAGAAAGAAGCGATTGTATGTTTTCGCGACGATTAATTAATGTTTTCAATCCTTACTGTTAATATCACTGATCTCATCGCTGCTTTCTGCCCTTCCTGTTGCAAATATCTTGGTTAGCTCGTCAGTTCCTGCTCGGACTCTTAGGCCGCGTTTGAAGGAAAAGATCGACCGCGCATCGGTTATATACGTAAGCCGCGATCTCGAGGAAGGCAATTAAGTCACTCTCACACAACAGTCCGTGATATGCAGATTCGTTGTAGAGCGCGAACGGTTTCGTTCCCAGTAAAAGAGCCAGTATGCGGGGCTGCAGGTAATGAGTCATCAGTGTTGTTAGCGGGGACTCGGTGGAGGGATTCGAAAAATCGCAAAGTGCTCTTTTTTCTCGCTCTCGGGTGAAAGCTCTTTGCAGAGAAGAAGAAAAAAGGCGTCGGATCCAATGAGCTTTCGGTCGTCCCTCGAGGGCTTACCTTCGGCGACCTGAGCGCGTTCGCGCGCACAGAGAAAACAAGTTTCGCTGGGACAGCAAGTTGTTTGTTAATACAATGACAGCAAAAATATTTGTTACACGGAAAAAATAATTTCGCTGTTGTAGCAAGACGTCGTTGCGACAGCAATAAAATTTAATTGGCGCGGCCAAATTATTTTGCTGTTTATGTATCTAGCAAATAGCAATTAGTATTCTCAACTAATCTTTCTGCTGTCCAAACAAATTTTTCTGGTCGTTACTGTGTTAACAAACAATTTGCTACTCTAGCAAAGTTGTTTTCTCCGTGCACCTTTGACCCGAAGCACGAATCGAAATCAATCAGCCGCTTACCTCCGCCCTTGACGATTGACAGTGAATTCCGCAGGTGCTAAACGCCTATTCACCGGTCGCGAAACGCTCGCACGCACGTACGACTCACACGTGTCGCGCACATGCAACTGACTTTCCTACTCTTCTAATACCTAATGATTCGTGACAGTGCTTCTCTCTCCTTTAGGCCTATTCTTTGACGACAGTGTCGTTATTGTTACCGGGACTGTTAAACTTCGACAATTTTGACATTTCGAAGCTTCGAAAGAAAATTAGGAATTCTAGTAAAGCGTATTGAGTATTTAGTATGAAAACGTAAAGAAAATGAACATTCCTTTCCCGATATTTATAAGCAATATCTTAAACAGCTAGATTCATTTATTGTTTCCAAGTTCTACTGCCAAATCTGACGGGCCAACATTGAGATTCGAATACTGAATAAGAAAAGTCGCACCAGCGGGATACGGCTGTGATGACACAATGGTATTTTCAATGCGTCCTTAACGCAACAATTTGCCAACGGGGAAATACCGGTGACTCCACCAAAATTGCTTTAATCGTCCAATTTTTATTTTCCGCACTTCGCGCGAAATTTTTTTATCGCTCTTTCGGCTCACATTCGAGCCTCGATCGAGTCGATTGTTGAATCATTCTCGAGAAGCACGTTAATCAGCGCCAAACCGGTCCTGCGAAAGTTTTCGCGGCGTCGTAAGCAGTTGACGATGGATAACCGCTGCGTTACGTCGCATGAATGGATAGATGGAAGAACGAGTGACTAACTGTTTCCCCCCGGGGGCATTAATGATGACACGTTTACTACGGTCTACTGTAATTTTTGCCGTCGCGTTCCCGGTAAGCACGCCAATGATAGTTCACCGAACGCGAATCGCCCAACGAGAGCGTGCGCGTGGAATTTTATTGCCGTCTAATGTCAGGGACTAATGTTACCATCGGTCGTATCGTATACGAAATCGTCCGTTTCTCAGACGCATCACATCGCGAATAAACACGCGAATGTTACCGCTGCCGGAGAACAGCAGATGGATGGAAATATCGGACAGCGTTTAAGAACTGTTATTTCAATTTAGTAGAATAGTTCAAAGTCGGCCGTAGACAGTTGGTTATTGCAGCGGCTGTTATCATAGGAAGCGGTCGAGATAATCATAACTAGCCGTTACCGCGAAGCGTTCACTATGCGTTCACATTGCCGGCGCGATCCGACATGCGGCGGACTATTAAATCGAAAACATTCCCGCAGATTAACGGTAAATTCGCTGGCGCTTATTACGTATGCGTGCTTTCTACTAGCTGCTTTCTTTCTTTTAGTACTAACTATACTGAATATATATGGCTAATTTCAAATTTCATTATTATCTGTTATCATTGGAAAAATTAATAGTTTGTAACGTAATCTGAAATTAACCGTATACTCTGTTACCGAAAGACTCGGGTATCCGCGTAGTCGAAATTGACAGCCCTATTTTCTACCGTAAGAAAAAAATCTACTATAATCTATAATATGATGGATTTATCGGGGAACTGGAAAACGAAACGTTCTCCGGCGAGACCGTCAATTGTGACTTTAATCGTGACGCACGAGCGAGTCAATCGAAGTCGACGATAACAAATTATCGTGATTGCGCTTCAATGATGCACCATTCGTCGCATGAACGTTCAGGAGACAAGAAGGAGATGACGAGGTGCAAAGAAATATTTTCAAAATGCGTAATCTCTAAAATGTTATTCTTTATTTCAATCGAAATATTTATTGAGTTAAAAATATTCAATCGTTATATATTATTTTTCGATAGTTAATTTGATCTTGGTATCACAAGAAAATCGAAATATCATTATTTGTAGCAACGGACAAATTGACAGATCGAATTTTTCGGTGCAGAATTTACCATTATCGACACACACACACACACTGGGAAAAAATATCTAAAAGATAAAAATATTTATTCGATAGGGCTAATAACATATTTACTTAAATTTAAATTTTTTTTATTTAAATACAATAAACAATTTGATGAAAAAGCAAAGATTTAAGAAAATATATATTTCCTCATTTGAAAAGAATTTTTCCTCATCGTAAAAATATATATATTAGTACAAGTAAATATGTTATTAGTAGTACCCCTCACGGAATAAATATTTTTTTATTTTTTAAATATTTTTCTTTTAGTGTATGCGATTGATTAGTTATCCGTAATAATCGCCAGAATATCGGGGCCTGTATCGATAGCCGGGTCTCGGGTAAGAATTATACGAATTGTATCTCCGGTAAGGCGATCTTCGGTAGCTGTTATCAGCGCCACGACGCCAAGACCTCTGCTGCTCCTGTCGGAATCGGAAAAGCGGCCTGAAGACGATATGTGCGGCGGTATCCATATCGTATGAATCTTTAGGGTAGTCAACATCCGCATCCGAGGTCCAGAAAAGGGGTGTTATAATGTCAACACGCGATACTGCAATTGGGAGCGAAATTTCAGGACGGACATCGCCCGCGTATTGATTCTCCGTCGTAGCTGGCTCGTATAACAAAGGTGTCTATGCGAAAAAGAGAAAGGGAGAGATAAAAATTGTTAATTTTTCTTATCAAATTTAAAATGTAATTTAGGAAGATGATGAGACAGATCTTACACGCAAAAAAATAATTTGCTGATACTGCAAATTTTATGCTGTCGCAGCAAAATCTGCCAGTTACTGTATGAACAACAAAACGATTTGTTAAGAATATTAATTGACATTCGCTGGATTATTTTGATGAACTTACATATTAATTTGCTGGAAGGACAAATCAATAAATGTAGGGAAACACTATTTTGTTTTAACAGCAAATTAACGTGTCCTAAGGACAAGTTCACTCAGCAGAATATTTTCTATCCTGACAAGAAAAACTGCGTTTCTGCTCTAATTACAAATAATTCGTTAATTTTATTAGCGTTATAGCGTCTAATTATGTGAAGTAAATTTTTTTGCTGTCGCAATGAATATGAAGTAGCGATGATGTAGTTTCGCCACAACGGCAAAATTATTTTTCTCCGTGTACGTTTGACGGAGAAGAATAATTGACGAATTATCAAAAAGACATTATCAATTTATATTTTTATTAGAATATTACATTGATTTATATATCTAATAGAATAAAATGTTTAATTTATATTTAACAGAATGAAAGAGACTTACTTGCGACGGTGCCGACGTGAGTTGCCAATAATCGGGATCCACGCTCCACGAATTTCTATCGATGTAATCCTGAACGTTTTGCTGTATTTCGTCACGGCCGTTCTTCAATAGCTCCAATCGGCTCTCCGAGGCGTCATCCGGCTGCGATAATGCCGCCGCGATCGGCATTTCGATTTTATCGTTGGAGATTTTCGCAGAATTGAGAAAAGCTATGATCGGCACCGATATCGTGGACGGTGGCTGGTGGTCATCCGGTCGCTCCATTTCCTGCCTTGGATTTGGTAGGAGGTACGGGATCTCTCGTGGTGTGTGATCGTCGTCGATAAGGAAATTCGGCTTACGCGTGGTCTCGGAAAATTCGTCTAATGTTTCGTAAAAATCGATGCGCTGCGGTATGTCGGGCGGATTGCTTTCGTCTTTCTGAAAAATCAGTTTATTGCCAACGATCGCGAACGTCTCGATATGCAAAATCACGCGGAAGCGACAAATTATATATTCGCTACACGTGCAAATCATTAAATCATGAGACATTTGAATTAAAATAAATTTAATCGATTATTGGTGATTTACGTCAGCACCGCCGCAGTAAGTCTCTTTTATGTTGCGAAAAATACTGCCTGAGCCAGAAGTCGAACCTCGACTTCTCCACTAATGATACCAATTCGACCATCGAAGCTTCGGCAATATCCATCGCAACAGTGTTTATAAACTTGTCAAATATATGTACGAACAAGTGAGCATATTCTCCTGCCGATACTATAAGTGAAATTTCAGTGCTCCTTACTTGGTTTAACAAAAGGAAAAATTTTAAGACTATAAGGAGCCAATATTAATATTTAATATTGACGGTATTAATACTTAAATAGCACTGGAACGTCCGTATTTTGGCTCTTCAGGGCCTTTAAATCCTTCTTTTGATTAAACTTAATAAGAAGTAATTTTTTTACTTAAATTTAAAATAAATTTCTAGCCCACATGAGATTCCTTCTCGCCATTCTCGGTAAAGAGTCCAACATCTGTGAGCACCAAACTGTCCTCGTTTGCTTTCTCCTTCGCACTTTCCGTGATATTCTTCCTCACGTCCTCCAGATTTGTCACCGGAACTACGAGAACTTGCTCGCGTTGCGACACCACCTTGAACAGAGATAACACGATTTTTATCCTTTCCTTCCTATGCCAGAAACTGATCTGCAACGTGCGATAAATCCGCCACCACATCCGGAAAATAATTCTCGATTCGTGTAACTGATTTTCTGTTACACGGAAGAAAACTCAGTCGCTGCAACTAAATAGAGATCGAAGAGAGAGAGAGAGAGAGAGAGAGAGAGAGATGAAAATTCGGTAATGAAAAAATAATATCTCTGTCACCGCGACTTCAGCTGCATTAAAACCCATACATTGAGACAAATGAGAGCAATTATCTGAGTAAGAACTTCTTACAGGAATCTTGTTATTCCTGTAAGACCACGTTTTCGACTGGTTTTCAGACAATGAAAAATTTAGTTACATCAATGGAATCATTTTTTCCGTGTTACCTGAGAGCCGCGTAACAGGTAGGGCACATTTTCATTCAGTCACTTGCTCTCAGTTATTTCAACTGAGAGAGGGTTTCAATACAGCCGAATGTTCAGACAAATGTTTTCGCTCACGATAACAGAGACGTTGTTTCTAGTCACCGAATTTTCGTCTGGTTCTCATTCGATTGTACGAACTGAGATTATTTTCCACGTACGTCCGACAACGAGCCGCGACAACGAGCGACAACGAGCTTATGTAATTTCTTTCGGCAGCTAGTTGACTCTTCCGCGCCGTCATTATGTAAACGATTAATCACGCTTTGACGTAGCGATTGCTAATGGAAGCTAATAGTCCTAATCACTCCGATTGTTAACAAGTGTCGCCGATGACAGTGACATTTGGCTTTTTAATTGCAAACGTCGTTTCTCGCGATGAAAAATGCTCATGAAAAGTATCGGATTAATTGATCACGATCGGACGGGAGAAGGGAATGTACGGAGCACTGCGCGAACCTTGGTAGGTTCGGTGGCGGGCATGATGAGGACTTTCTTCTTCACCACCAGGCCCTCTAAGGTGCCGTTGCCGACCGTGTCTTGCACAGCAACCTGCACCACCGGATCTCTCACGATGGCGGCCAACGTGTCGTTCGTCGTCTGCGGTTCCGTTGGCAACAGATTCACCACGTCGTCGTAATCGATAGGCTGCGCGTCCGATATTATCGCGAACAGCAAAACGACGATGGAAAATATAATTTGTCCCGAGTGAAGCTGTAAAAATACGATTAACTTGCGTTTCATTAAATACAGGCTGACCGAATCTCCCGACTCTGCTCGACTGGCAGATTCTACGAACGAAATTGCGGCGCGTTTAAACGATAAACTAGTTCAAACGAATTCTGCTTTCTCGAGATTTAAATTTCCGTTTAAAATTCTAAAAGAGAAATTATACATGTATATTTATGTACATATATATATATATATATATATCTTGCATCTTCTTTGTAACTTTCTTTTAGTTTCAAGGTGAATGTTAAATCAGCTCCTGCAATTTTCGATAATCACGCTGCTGCTTATGGTACGCATCTTAATCCTAATAGTTTGTTAACACGTTCATTGCCAATCATGCGATATCATGTGATGCGAGTTCTCACCAAACGGCCGATCACGCGTTATCGCGTAATAGATATTTAAAGTACATAAATCCTATGTACATAATAATAAAAGCATATAAATAATATATTAACTTATTTTGAGCACAATAAAAACTAAATAAAAAAATATAAAAAATACGGAATTCCAGTTTTCAGCTTGGCAATGAACGTGTTAATTGCTCGACTCAGACGTCTAAAATGCCTAGAATCTTTATATCATTTCTATAACTCTAGAGTGCATGACTCCGGGAATAAAATATACTCTACACTGTAAAAAACATTTTATACTTGTATTAAAATCGATCCTTGTTAAAATTTTCGTGTTAAATCTGTGTGTTAATTTAACAGATTGTGTTTATGTTATCTCAATATTTTCCTATTGAATCGATTTAACATATGTGTAGTATTAAAATGACACACTTTATATTTCAGTATCGATTAACATATTTAATTTTGTGTTAATTTTTTACATAATATTTGCGTTACTTTTCAACAAGTTCTTCTTGCATTAAATTAACAGAAAAATGTGTGCAGACCGTGTGGAACATATAAATTATGTTAAATTTAACACAAAATTCTTTACTGTGTACTCTAGTCTTACTTTATGACCTTAACGTGAATCAGTTTTCCGCAATAAATTAGTATAGTTAAATAAATTAGTAATAAATAGTCTCGATCATTCGTATCGTACGTGTTAATTGCTTAGGTGAAAAGCGGATTTCCCGATATGATATAATCGACGGAAGAACAAACGTACCGGCGAATCATGTTCCATCGCGATGGTGAAACTGCGACGTTCCTCTCGCTGCCCCGACGGCCGGACTGTCTCGTCGCGATGATGATTTCCCAGCTCTGTCAAGGTATAACGGGCGGTACCGGCTTTATACGAGGTGCTGACAAAATTATCGCCAGCCCGCTAATACGCGTGAGTATGAAGTTCGTGGTAAACGGATGTCTATGTCGGATGCTGCGACGCGAAGAAGATTCTTTCGATCGTCGATCGTGCGGCGAATCGATCCTCGCGAAGAATCTCGTAATTTCGTGTCTTCTCCCGCAAAAAGGAAACATCGAACTATGATCGTAGTCTTATACAAAAAGCCTGACCATTTCGACGTCTGACGAGACGTCCTTTCACGCACCCATCCATATCAGTTTTTTCTTTAATCATCGTGATTTCATCAGCGCGAGGCGATGTGGAAAGGACGTCAGTCCACTTCGTCAGGTACCTCGTCAGGTACCGTTCGACCAGCCAGGAGAAATATTTTACTTATCGTTAGCGCGTTTCTAACAATATTACCGGTGATGTTTAGCGAGCGGCTTAGCAACGAGTCCTGAACAACAAGCTATAAAAGCGCTGCCCCGACTTCCCGAGTAGCTAGTCGGCGACGGAAAATTAGATTCCCTGCGCCGTCTGGAAAATCCGTGGTCCGCTTCCAGAAATGGCGCGTCTCAGCGTCCTCTTCAGCGTTCTCTGCTCCTTCGCAATCTTGGCGGCATTCCCGGCTTCATTAGCGTCGACGACCGAAAATCCGAGAGGCAACGCGGTGCATCGTACCGGCCCGTCGAAGAACACGGAAGACGAATCAGACTGTCCTTGGAGCCACGTCGGCCACGTGGAAAAAGCATATCAAGCCGGGGAGGAGTTCACGAAAGATTCATCGCGTTTTAACGAGGGTCCGAGTGAAAAAGTGCGACGCTCGAGGTATTCCGAGGGTCGCCGAGAAGACGACGTTTCCCGATCGAGTCATCAGCGAAGACCGGTCGTAGATTTATCGTCGCACGATATCTTACCGAATCCCGATCTGATATCGGCCAGCCAAGCCGGAAAGAGCACTGGGGATCACGGAAATCCCGCGTCGCCGGTCAAAAGCACCTTCGGCGATGATGTCGAGCGTAGAAGCATCGATTCGCTACGGCGGCGGGGTCCAGATCTCCAGGACGATATCGCGGTAGCCGAAGATAGATATCGACCTCAATATCCTTACCGGTATCAACAGCAATACCCCAATCAAAGGTATCGGGCGAACGACAGGAGGGATCCTTATCGGAACAACTATTTGAGATATCCCGTATTTCCGGGGAGATAAATTTCCCGGGGAGGCTCTCCTCTGCTTCGAATAAAATGTAGATTTGCACAACCAAGGTCGAAAAGTAGAAATTGATAGAGTGATAAGTAGAACAAACGATAAATAAAATAGAACATGTTCTCGGGTTGAGGGTGTAATATTGTTCGGGTGAATACGAGGAATCTCTTCGTGAAAGATATACACAGAGAAAAATATCATTCTTGTTTTAAGTATTAGTTATTTTCAATAAAGAATATTCGTTTCCTGAGATAATAGTCCCGAAATATATTCATCATAATTCTTATAAAAGCTCATTATATCACGTGCTCAAGATATTTTATCCCTTTCTCAAGAATATTATAAGCTTCATCGAAGAAAAGTTAAATTCGATTAATTTGAATGAGCAAGCCGAAGTTCGTTTCACTATAATATTCTTGATTGAAGTACCAAACTTACTAGGAAATTCAGAATATATTTTGAATAAATTTGATGCTTGTGAGATGAATTTATGATACACTTGCGGATGTATAAACTTACGAAATACATGAGACAAGTAACATTTACTTGAGGGCAGTATATATTTTTCAGTGTACAGATATAATCTTTTCGTGCGCAAGCTTGGACTGTGATTAAAGGATATTACGAAGGATTATTTGGACTGTGATTAAGGAATATTACCTGACTGAGGAGCGATTTCGCTGTTCCGACGTCTCGATTATTTTTACGCATTATGTATCAACGCGTTAATAAATAAATATAAATCTTTGTAAATGAATAATAAGACGACAAATGCATGTAACTACAATGTTATTTATTTATAAAACTCCACATACGCGCTAGTTTAACTTACACGGGTAATATCTTGTTGCGGATGTCGTCCTATCACAATATAACATTTTCGCACGTACATTTGACTGCCTGCGACTCGCGTAATTATTAATTAATCCGAGGTTGCTCGCATCGTTTTGCGAAGCAGCTTTCCCGAATCGAAATTTTGACGCTACTTGGACACTCTTAAAGATAGTTTGCGCCTATTTAGATGGCTTATAGACTAACTTAAACCTATTTTGGCGATATTTATTAACTTCTCTCTTAGACCTTTACTTCTACAGATTAAATTTTAATGCTACCCGGAACAATTAATTTTCATGCTAAACCGCCGTAAACAGAAATTTAAAGCATCATCAGGATCAAGTAAGAGTAAATTATATTATCAGAATTTGCAATTAAACTTATTTTGCTATCTTAGCTCCTATCGTATTATAGAATCAAAAATGTTACATAAGACCAGAATTTCGATTCGGGTTCGATCGTTAACGCTAAACTATCTATCGATTAAAACATATAATACGAAATGAGACATGTCTTGTCACCTCTTATTTATTTAATATAGAACAATTACACATAATATCGCGCATCTTTCTTAATTCGAGTCTCGTAGACTTTAAATCGACTTAATTAATCAGTCAATCCAACTTGAACTCATGGCGCACGAAAGACCATAAGAACATGATCGCGAAGATAGATAAATGCATCCCTGATCTTTAGCCCGGTCGCTCTTCTCAGTCCTCTGGAGTTTCAACGTAGTTGAAGATTTTAACTCGCCCAGGTCGGTGAGTTTAGTTCCCGCCCGTTAATTCGCGCTGTTAATGTCCGTCGAAATATATAACGAGGACCGCAGCCTCTTAGCGTAATTTACTAACGAGTTCAACACCCCCGTACGACAGTGCGATGTCTTCAAGTTTGTTCGTCCATCCGTTCGTTCGCTCATTCGCTCGCCTTTTGCCACGAGAGCTCTCTTTCTCTTCCTTTCTCATCAACGGTCTCGGGACCATCAGTTTGCCTCTTCTTTCGCACGAGCGTCTTTTTCAAGAATAACAGGTTCCGCCTGTCTCGAGAGACAGCCTTGTTTACACCCGAAATTCTCGTGTTCACGCGAGTCTTCCGCTTCGCTATTTTCGAGCGTTCGCTCGGATGGGATCCCGCTGATCCTCCGAGATCATCACCGGCTCTCCTTGGAACAAAGTTCCACCCTTCCTCGTTTTCCGATCACCATTCGAAATTGTTCTAAAATTTTTCTTCCCTTTTTCACGCGGCGACTTCTTGACGCAAGCCCGATCCTTCGTCAATCCTTTTTTCAGGATCTTGAAGATCGTGTCGAGGTGTCCCTGGGTGTATCTCGGATGTATTACCTGCCCGATAATACAAAAGTGAGATCACGATTGTGCAATCCGCCTGTCAATGGCCGGGTTCTTTGAACCGCATCTTCCCGCGTTTCCGCTTATATTCGCCTGCCACGTCGAAACGCTTCCCTGGCGCGCTGTCGGTATGCGATCTGCTGACGGTAGACGAAGAGCGGACGAAGGACGTTGCTGCCAGCCGCGGTCTCGAGGTCGTCGTCGTCGTCGCTGGCTTCCTGAACGCTGCGTTTCACGATGTCGAAGGAGCTCGGATTGTCGTTTAATGTGTACATCGCTTCCTCGTACGCTCGAGGTTCCTCGAGATCCTCCACGACGGGTACAACGAGTAATGGAGAACCGTAGATGGTCGCTCGGAGGGGCAGCGCGTAAGAGCAGCCGACGAGCAGCAGCATGAAGACAACGACTTTGGAAGCCATCTGAGGAAGAAAAAATATCGCATCTTTGTATACGTGGCACTAAAAGTCGTACTGAAAGGTAGACTCTGTATGGAAAAAAAGCTCAGTTTTTGAATAGAGACCGGACGAAAACCTCGGTAAGGACCGGTATTCATAGTCAGCGGACGTACTATGAATTCGTCCGGAATTGATTCCAATTGAAAACGTTGAATTATTCTCTATAAAGTGCAAGAGAAAATTTGGGGAATAACTGAATGATTAAAATCGAAATTCATTCCGAACAGTTCCATAATATGTGCCCGGTTCTTATGTTTAAGATCGTCTTGTGTTCATCTTCAGATGTCTTATAGTTAATGAAACGATCCGTAGAGCATCTGAAGATGAACTTAAGACGATCTTAAATATAAAATCTGACTATGAATATCCGCCTAAGAAATGATATATCTCTCTGTTATCATAGCTGAGAACATTCGTGTGAGCAGTCGACACAGCGACTTAAGGTTGTAACATATTGTTTTTTTCGACAAGTTTCGCAACGCACCTGCTACATTTACATTTATATTATATTTACAATTACTTTTTCCCATAAAGAAACCAAAAACCAGAAAAATGGAAAAAAACCGGATTTTTTCTGGAACTTGAAGATTACACTTAAAACTCGGTTGAAATAACCGAGAGCAGTTAATTGAATAAAAAACTCCTACAGGAATATTTCAGCTTCACTCGTTCTCGTCTGGTCCCCAGGCAGTGGAACAGTTTTCTCCGTGCAGAGGAACACGACCGCACGTCTTCTGTGCGATCTTGATCTCGAAAAAAACATACTCACTATTTTGTACTCCAAAGGGTGGAAGATCGTCGGCGAGATCCTTGTCGAGCACGTAGCGAAGGAAACGATCAAGTACTTCCGTACGAGTTCGAGGCACGAGCGGTCGCGTTCGTTCAACGGAGAAGAACGGGAGAGCGTCCGAAGAAACGGAGTGTCGCACGTCTGTCTGTCGAGAGCACAACAAATGCGTCGAGGCGGCTCAGTCGCGGGTTTATGGTGGCCGAGATCGTGCATTCGGTATTTATATGAAACAATGACGTCAAAGCAGAGCACGCTAATTATACAATGACGTACCGCGACGGGCGATAAGTGACCTGGTAAATCTAAGTGACATGTCGCACCGTCCCCGAGTACGTAGGAGCATGTCTCGTCCTGCTCCACCGTTCCTCTGATGTTCTCGCAGGTGTGTTAACTCGTCCACGAGGCGACGATCATAATAACCCCCCCGATGTTTGTCGGTTTACGCGAATGGAACGATAATATTGACTATTTTCACTAGATCGACCGGGAGGTGCCGATGCCGAAAATCACCGTGCAAATATGCGGATCAGACGGGGCGGAAACTCAACCGACCTCGGCGTCGCCTTCCTCGAGTTCCGCAAGTCGTCTTTCCGCTTCGGTGGCGGCCGCTTCTCTCTCGCCATATCTCGTCGTATTCGAAGCTGAGATTAGCTCGAAGAGAGACAACGGAAACCGGAGATGGAAATTTTCGCATCGGCGGTAGCCGCAGGCAGATTCGAGAATCCCCTCGTACCCGAGATCTCCACGTTTTCTGCATTATCGCGACAAATATAAAACCGCGCGAGAAAAAGTGACCGTTACTACGTCGCACGAAGCGAAGTAACGTGATATTAGATTAACGTCTATCACCTAAGACGCAACGGTTAGATTATTCTTCACGTAAGGCGTGACATAACAGACAGCTGTCTATTTTCTAGAACGTCGCGACATTCTAGAACACATATTGTTACGTCATCGCGTGCTCACGAGAACTTCATCTCTTCAATGTTACATAATAATCGGTCATTCGATTAATGTTTCGGCTTGCTTACGGGCAATAGTACAATTTAATATCCCGATAATGTAGAAAGAATCTCAAAAAGTGTGCGATTTTCTCACGCTCGGTGATTACTTTATTTCATGATGCAAAAATGCGCCAGTTTAGAAGGGAAGCTGGAAACTGAATGTATCGAACATTACGAACACACTTTTGATTGTAATTAAAAAAAAAAAAAACGGGATTTTTTTCCATTTTTCTGCGGATTTCTTCGGAGTAAAAGAAAAGTCGAAAAATTTCGCAAGGGTAGACAAATTCGTTCAGTAAAATTCACGTGTGTGTTCAGTTAAAACTTGCCACGTTTACTTCTTTCCATAAAGGAAATAATTGCGTGCATTTAATTGAAGTTAAATGAAGTTAACATGTTATGTATCAAGTAATAATAAAGCGAAACTTAAAGCGAAGTTAAATGAAGTTAATATGTTACATATTAAGTAACATTATCGTAATATTGATTCAATATTATTATATGTGGCAGATTTTATCTAACACACATGAATTTTTCTAAGCGAATTTTTCTACCGTTGGGAAAGAAAACCGAAAAAATTCGCGGAAAAATTGGAAAAACGAAGTTTTTTTCCGGACCTTCAAAACTATACATTTGATGTGTTTTTCTTTTTGAAATCAACCAGAAATCTTCCTTCGACAGGTCAACCGTCAATTCTCGTTTGTACAGGAGCAGATCAAAAAGAGACTGGGGAAAGAAAGAAAATCGCGAGAGTCCCTCGCCCCGTGATCGATTTTACTCCGGGTATCGAGAACTCGCGACAGCAAATTACGCACATCGTGTTGTTTCTGTGTAGCAAACAAACTGATTTATTTCTCTGTTCAAGTCATCTCTCATTGTGTACGTGAAACAGAAAATCCTAGCGTCCGGCGGCGCTTCTTTCTCCCCCTTTTAGAATGTTAAAAGGCACAAAACGGAGGATTATCGCGCAGGACGATTACGCGCGGCGGTTTTCTTTCTTTCGATTTAGATCGTGGACTCGGCCTCCTCGTGCACGGTTTCGCAGCTTTCGGTAGATTCGCTTTTAGATCTGAAAGAAATCACCAGATGAGGATCGCACCGTGCTTCGGTCGGGGGGGGGGGGGGGGAAAAANGAACGATAAGAGAACCTAGAAATCGGGAGGAACTGATTAATTTGCGCTAACACATTAAGACGAGTCATTCGAGAATACGAGATAGGACGGGATCGAGAGTCGGGAGCGCGATTTAATTGGAAAATGGTGCGCTTTCGTAGCGGGGGTCGGAAATGGTAGTAAACTACGAGAACGGGTGATGTAGCGCCAAAATAAAAATAAACCCCTTCCTAACGTAACGAGCAACTAACTGATAATGTTCTAATATCGTGCTATTCCTAATTAAACGATCTACACGGAGAGAAAAATTTGATTGAATTAACGCGACAATGAATAAATCCAAACGTGATTTGGTTGGAGAAAACAGAATTTAAATTTAAGAACCGAAATTGGTTTACAAAAACCAGAAATTCTTTATCCTTTGACTGAAACGCGTTTGATTTGGATAATTGTCAAATTAATACAACCGAATCGTTTTTCTCCATGTTTCACCTTTCTTTCTCTTTCTCACTTTGTCCCTCTCTTGACGTGGGAATACAAACATAAAAGAAAGTATATCAGGTTGATTGACTTGAAACGGCTTCTCTCATTCGTGATTGCCTGGGATCACTATAGTTGCGTCGTTGGTATTCGTAAAAAACATCTGTATTACCTGAATTATTAGTACATGGATCCGATTTTCCGTCCGCAGAAAATGCATTGCGAAAATAAATTTACGGTGAAAAATTGCGCAATTCTTGCCGCGAGAATCGCGTGCGACTCTCTTTTTCTTTCTTTCTTTCTTTCTTTCTTTCTTTCTTTCTTTCTCTCTCTCTCTCTCTCTTTCTTTCTTTCCCTCTTTCAGAATTCTTAGGGGGAGGGTAATAGAAAATCAGGGTATAAAATCTACTGTGTGTGTGTGGGTGGTGTGTGTGTATGTGTCGCGCGCGCGCGTGTGCGCGAGCGATCTCTCTACTCACTCTCGCAATGCTATTTCCGGCTGGTGTAAAATATCCGCCAAAAAGTTACAATCCTCTACTACGACGAGACGACTCGCCGGTAGTGGGCGGGGGAACCATCTCGAACGAATCGGTCTGATACGCGCGCATACTCACGAAAGCATTGCTCCGCATGCGCTACTTTATTCATCGTACTTCCGGTACGAGTAACATTTATCATCATGTGCGAGAAAAGAAGCGCTTCGAGCGAAGGACGACTTCGGCGACTTCTCAGGCAAAGAGCGAACCCGACCAGGTGCACTCGTGCGAGAGGAAGGTCGACCACGTGCTGCGGACAGTCCCCAAAAATCGTGTATACGCGATAATCAGGACCTGATAAACATACTCGGCCGTCCGCTCGCGGTACGGCGACCAGGCGAGCAAATATTGTCGAACGGACAAACAGAATGTTTTCGGAAATATTGATAATGGCGCGTTATTAAGTCCGTCGAGTGAATCGATCGGCAAACATACGAGCCAATGCACCACGGATATAAAGTATCTCGGAGAACGTGGACCGTTTCAGTACGATTTGTCAAGTTCTGCCGAAATCACGAGGTCATCTCTCTCCTTCGGTCGTCGCGCGCTCGTTTCGCTTCCCTTTATCTCCACCTATCATTTCTTTTCCGTCTCTCTCTCTCTCTCTCTCTCTCTCTCTCTCTCTCTCTCTCCTTCGTCCAGTTCTCTCACGCATGCCCCCGTTTTCCGCGTTCCCCCTCGTTTTTATCTCGCAATTTCCTATACATTAAAATACCATTCGACGCTATAAGTCCTACAACGATACATCGTAGATATAATTAACTATAGTTCGAGACGCAGGATACACAATGGGCTAGGGGGAAGTAATATCCTCGGCCGATCGCTGTGCGATTAACAATTCCGCACGGGCGAATCCCGTGGTCTTTAATACAATCGATGAGATTCGTGAAACAACTACTCGTCCGATCCCCAGCAAACATCAACTAACAGTAACATTACATTAATTTTATAATTTCTCACTCTTACTCGCTGTCGTTTGACGATTATTTAGTTACTGAGTAGAGGAATTAATTTCTGAACAGTTACTGCCAGCAGACAAGTTAAGTTCCCAACCATTATACGGTTATCAATTAAAGGGTTGATTAGGATCTTAACGTATTTATTACTCTTGTAAAATTGTGACTTAATCAAAATAATCGTTAAACGTTATTCTCCAAATTTGATAATGGTTACCAAAGTTATCGAGAAGTTACCAAAGTTACTTCTCGATAACTGTTACTTACACATACAGTAACAGATAACGAAATAACGTCCATCACTGTACACTGGGTCGTGACTGACAGTCAGTTAATCAAATAGGCGCGCACGGCTCTCTTTCTCTTTCTTCTTCCATTCTGTTTCTCGCTTATTTGTGTCCTTTCATCTTGAGGTAAATTCGTTTTTTTTTGCGTCGACGATTGCAATCGTCAGTAACTGTAAAAAGGCCCCGTGTTTCATACAAAGGATGCGTTATACAGACTAAAGGACATATCGTGTTGTACAAACATGCGTTCCAGCCGGTGCGCTTCCCAGTATGTATATATCGAGGATCATTAATTCCCCACTTCGCCACATCGCCACACCTGCCTAATGGCGTACACACTCGATTCTTACTGTTATTATTAATCCGGTTGCCAAGCGTATCGACCGAATTCGTAACGTTCGATATCGCCGTGATCCGTGTATATATTGCTTTAAGTCGGACGCGCAAGTGCCCGCGGCATGTCAGATCGGAAATTTCCTCGCCCAAGATCGAGCTCTCCTCGACTTCTTCCTTCACTCGAGACGAAAATCGCTCGCATGTTCCGTCTCGCTACCCTGATGCACGATCGCTCGGCAATTCGGTGATTAGCGGCGGATTGATTCACTCGGAATGGCCCCTTACGACGTATCTTGAAAAAAGAGAACCCATTACGTCCGATTCGCGGCGACATCATGCGTCTTGCTAATTTTACAATAAAGAACGAAGGTGTCGGAAAACGAAAGAATGCGAGAAATTCGTCGAAATACGGCGACGATATTTTATCTTATACTTCGATAACACGGCGGAAGCCACCTCGGATAAATCAATCCGGCGGAGATTTACTAAGGAATTATCTACTTATATATTGTCGGATGATAAGAACGGCTCGCTTCCACGGTGACTATGCTCCTCCAAAAAGGGGAGAGGTCGTTATCGTTATACGCTATTTACCAATGGCTGTGGTTCCTCTTCACCTTGTTTGTACGAGCAGGCACTTAGCTATGTTTCTGCGTTCTTGCTTGTATAATGTTATATGTCTATTGTACAGGACGAGTAATACAAATGATGTGTCCGCTTCTACTATACGTGGCTCGACCGACGCTGATCCGAAGGCTCGCGATCTGAGCAGGAGGAGCCGACGGTGATACGGTCGCGCGTCGTGAAAACACCACGAGCTTCGTTATTTTTCATCAACGGCGAGAGGAAGAAATATAGATCATACGTGGATGAGATAAGCGTGCGGTAATGTGCGGAATATCGTGCTTTACTACCAAATATAGGGCGATAACTATTTTCACCTTGAATATCTCCGAAATATGAAAGCAGGGGGAAAACTTATCCAACAGACATTGCACCGATATTAATGCGTAATATCAATTCGCGAACGCCTTCCGTAAATGTAAATTTTTGTCACATTCATGTAGTCGTTAATGAGATATTCAAGATGGTAATAATTATTGCCTCATCCAGTATACATATATACACGGTCGTAATATTTCGGTGCGAGCCTCACGATCAACATCGGTACCGTTCGTTTCCAACGTTCGACATACTCCCACACATTCACCCGGATTCTCACACACATGCGTTCCCTCCTCCTCTTCTTCCTCCTTCTCCTAGTATCCTCGCACGCATCAGACACGCACACGTAATTCGGAGCGCACATCGTTTTTGGAACTTTTAATTAGCACCGTGTTGTCTTCGTGATCTGTGATTTTTCGTGAGCCTGTGTCCCACTTCCGGAAGCTTCGCGCGATCGCTGACACAACAAGGGAGGAGAGACGGGCGTCTGCTACGCCCGTCTGTCCGTTTTCTTTTTCCTTACTTTCTCTCTCTCTCTCTCTCTCTCTCTCCCGTGCAGCGGAGCATTGCAAATTTCGGAACCGTGCGAACTGTGCGCGAGCGTCGTTTAGCTCGAAGTTACATCTCTGCTCAACCCAAAGACGCACGAAGAACGAACGGTCGAAAGATCGAAGGTTTCCCGCGTGATGACGCGGTGGTTAGTGTCCCCCGCGCGGACGCGAGTATTCGTCGTCTTCGCGGTGTGCCGACGCGATATGTAACGCGCTCGATAGTTACACCTACATAAATAATATCTCGATAAAAATTAGTCAACAACGGGTATATCTCAGTGCGTAAAGTTAAAAACGTGTCGACGATAGAATACTGCATGTCCCCTCGAAAATTCGACATCGTGTTCCGCGCGAAGTGTCTTTCCCACTCCCACTCTCTCTCTCTCTTGTGCTCATTTGCTTGCGCTCCCTCCCTCTCCCTCTGTCTTCCTGTTCTGTTTGTGTTTCTCGCAACGTGCTGTTTTTTTCGCGCTTAAGATCGCGCGATAATGAGCGACGACGCGACGCGCCGGGAAAAAGCGTTCGTTGGAAGATCGTGCTCCAACGACAGTAACGTACAAAAGTAAAAAATACGTCCCAACACGGCGCGTATCTTCCCCCGAGACCGTTTTCATCCCTCCACAGGTTTTATGCGCCCCCTCCCCTTCGCTCGCACATCTTTGGATTGGAACACGATCTGACAAGTCTTTCTCTCGCAAGACGACTTATATAAAAGCACGACTTAAGAATTACGGGCCTAACGTGTTATAACGCCTAACTCTCGCTCTCGTTTACTTCCTCGTATCCGGTTTTCCTAGAAAGCCATTTAGACGTAAGTCAGTCTTTGTCAGACGCCCGATCGCGGTTATGCGTAGCGTTACGTTAATTGGGCGATGAGCTGGAATTCGCGTTTCCCAAGATTTTCGCTTTAACCCTCTTCCCCTCCCACCCTCCTATCCATCTTTCTTTTTTTGTATAACAACTAAGGCTGCGTTTGAGGAAGACGCTAATGTGTCATTTATATCTTTATCGCTCGTTAGATGTAAAACAGAATGACGTAATAGTACTGATAGCGCATCGCTGCTCATTAGAAACAGTAAAACAAAGACAGAATTACGAAACAGCTCTGATAACGCGCTCCTCGAGCGCAGCCTAAGAACCTCGTCGCCGAACTTTGAAACGGAGTTCTTGCGCGAAAATTGGAATTTTACACAACACGGTTTGGAAAATGAAGTTAAGAAGCTCTGCTCAAGATTGGCGTTTCACCGCGTGCAGAATTTTCTCGCGCCTGTCTTGCGGCCGCTACCAACGACTGTCGTACGTCGAACGAAACGTCTGTGCAATTTCGCAACTTTTGGCACCTGCTTCTTCGTCGATCGTTTTGCTATTCTGGAAAGAGAAAAAAAAAAAGCGAAGGAATCGGATAACATGCGGTAAAGTGAGAATCGATCTTTTTCTGCGCGACCGCGTCTAAGATCCAGCGTAATTCAGTTTCGAAGCGTAAGAGATTTGCAGCTGATATCCCGCGGGATACGTGCATGAGGAATGTCTCGTTGCAGAATGCAACAGTCGATTCTGGCAAACTGTCGCCGCGTAGATCGATAGGATTCGTATAAATAATAGCAAGCTCTTGTACGAGTTCGTTAATCGGTAGCTGCATCAAATGCACGCAATCCCGAGTGGCGACTTCCGCGAGATATAGACTAACACGTTGTAACAAAAAAATGGAAAATAAAAAGACCGCAAATAAGTAAAAAGTGTATCTTACTCATAGCCCAACAATGAAGAGTTCAAACGAGATTATCGCAAGTGAGAAAAGAATGTTATCGAAACACTTTCGCAATACGTAAAAATCACAAATGTGTTATTCGTTAACATGCGCATGATCTGATCTATCTTCTCGTAGAGAAGCTTTTCTCCCTTTTACCTTTTCTTCATTTGATGTGAGACAATAGAAATAAAATTTACTTCAATCGGCAAGTGTTGAAAAAAAAAAAAAAAACAAGTCCATCGTCCGTCTATAAACTAGAATAAAAATTTTTTAACAATTTCTAGGCCTAACGCGATTATACCCATTTAACGCTACTAAGATAAATCGGGTGCTTATCAACGCTAATGATTTTGGTACCCTGAAATATCACTAATAGTAAGTCTAAGTTATATTCAGAAACGGTTCGTCGAAAATTACAGAAAAATGCGACCTATATATAGTTCCTTCTTGCTCACCGTTTCCGATATTTAATTGAATAATGAGAAGAATCTATTTACGGAAAATGACCAAATCCGCCCTGGTGTTTCTCGCTAGAAAGAACAGGGACTGAGATTGATTTTTCACGATTGAGCCTTATGCATCCATTTGTAACTTATATAAATTATTGATTAACAATCAATAATATATAAAAGGGCCAATTTTAGAGCTTAAAACTACAATTCGTGTTCTGTTCTTAAATATTCCCGATACGAGCTCATGATCGACGCTATAATGTAGGAACAAGAAGATTTCGAAACGCTTCGAATTCGGAGTATCCGACATACGACACGAAATTCGTATAAATTTTTCATTATAGGAAAAAATTATCCCGGTGCCGTGATAAACCGATAACTTTCCGTGCACTTCTCATTCTTTCATTATAACGTTTGCATAAACATGATTGTATGATATAACCTACTGATTTCTGTTAAATCCGTATTTTTAAGGGAACTTAGTAAAAGTATTCTGAAGAGTACCACACACGTACACCAGACGTCACTATGTGTTCGAGTATTCGCCAAATTAGCATTACGACAGATACTCATCTAGAGAATATCGAAACATCTTCTAGACCTGATGTACGCTCTGATATTCTAGATACTCGTCGACTAAATCACAATATAAAAATACAAATCGAAAGTCCATCCACTTTCGTCATCGTCCGTTTGCGATTCTCCCATATTGGCAACAGCGCATGCATCAACAATGCGACATAGCTTGCTGCTCCGGCGATGTTTCTCCGTCTCCTACTGTTCACTTTCGCTTTTATCGTTCCAACAATGGAGATATAGTTTCAGTTCGCGACGCGATTGTACTGCCGATTGCATATGGTACGCGAAATATGCTGGCCTTTAAATTAATTACTTCACCTCCCACTATTAAGGCGTAGTTTCAGTCGAGATCGAGATGTCATTAAGAAACTTCGTAGAATCGGAACCTATGCCTTGCCAAGAACAGTAACCTCCCTCGATCGTGCTAGTCTCGTCTAAGTGTTGCCGACAATTCGTAAAGTTCATGCGTACGTACGATATCCATTCGAAAACGCAGTACGGTAGATCTAACTACGCATGTACAGGTAGCCACCCAATATGATACTCCCACCGATCCCGATGCATAAGGTTATTGTAAGTGGGTTGCATAATGACCTCTTGAGCTTCTGCCAATTTTCGCAATCCCTCTGCCGGCGTTTCATATCGCGCACTTGCGTCGCTAACCGCTCGTTCTTTTCCGCTCGTTTCTCACCACGTCTACGTACTGTATCCCTGTTTTAAAAACACACGAGACGATATTTATGAGTGTATTGTTTCGACGTGAATGCTCGAATACAAACCCGCCATGAAAACGTTACTCACAAACATGAGGAACTTAGTGGGGAGGAACGGCCCTCCGAGGAATCGTCGGAGACGACCTCGGCGAGTAACGGGACATTTTGCTCTTCTATAACATCTGTGACAGACGTGGAGATGGTGGACGGCGGACTCGTGCACGGTTCCGTGTAGGCGGGCGGCTCGCTTGGTAGCGGTTTGTCGGGCGGCCCACCTAATTCGCCTGTGAAAAAATCGAGAATTTAATTCTTCTTGCACGAAGACAATTCTCAGAACTCATTATGCATGAGCAATAAACATCAAAATACCATCTTCGTGGAACTTTTCCAAGCTTGTATCTGTGATCGCAACACTGCGCGTTAAAGATTCCGCTCTCGGGGGAGGTAAGGGAGGAGGCTCGTCGTCTTTCTCCAAGAGCGAATGGTTTATAAAATTGTAATTATTTATTATGTCGTTATCGTCGTCATCTTGTATTCTCGGTGAACCTGTCTGTAAAGATCAATAAGAGCCGACAATTAAATTTGGTTAAGTCAGTCCAGCGTCGGGATGATGTTGAGATCAACATTTCTGCTTTGAAAGTATTGTTTTGATAACAAGTCGTGCGGTAAAAAAAAAGAGAGAGAGAGAAACGCCGTTCCGAAGAAAAAAAAAAAACACTTGAAAAATATAAGCGATAACCGTAATTGTTTCTTTGGCCTAACCGATTGACGTTAATTAATAGTACGTTGCTAATGCGAATATTAGCATTAGTTACCACGTCATTCAGTGGCAATTGTTTCGCTCCCTCAATGATGGCGGCGTACGAGAAGCGCAGCTGATCCGGCGTTTGTATCAGACCCATACGATACCGTCTCATTTCCAGCAATATTTCCCGGACATTCACGGAATTCAATCCGTTCTCTTCGATCTGTAATCATATATGATAATGACATACCCATATCGATCGTTCCGGAATTCGCTCGCCTCGATGGTACGTACCAGTACTAGGCATGTATCAACCAAGCAAAATGTTCCCGACCTTCCAATGCCTGCGGAACAATGGACGACGGGTGGACCGACATTTTGATCTAATGCTCCTGATTGCCTGACGTCTGCCAAGAAACGTAAAAAGGCCGTTGGACATTGCGGTACCCCAAAGTCTGGCCAAGTGGTATAATGAAAATGTAAGATTTCCCTACTATCGTTACTTTCCAAGTCCGTTATACTGTAGATAAGTTAAAAACATTGAAAAAAAAACGGTCATCACGATGCCGGCAAGGAATTCAGGGTTGATCGCCGATTATAAAGCGAAACTTTCGACGAAGATAGTACATAGGCTCATATTCTCAGTTTACTTTCACCGATAAAATCTTAAATGTGGTTTCTCAGCCAATCAAGCGATTACTAAGCCACTTTTAGATGCGCTTCTATCAATAAAAGTGAGCTGAAAATACAAACCATAGTATTTACACATAAATGCAACATGCATCTCTTTACCGTAATGTCCTAGTTGTGTAATCTGACGTTTCCACCTTGCTGACATATTCCACCTTTATGCCAACGTCGTCGAACGTCATACTGGCGTCGTCCGTGTCTCCCAATGGCCAATATTGATGACACTTAATTTGATTCTTTTCGATTACCTTATTCAGCATCAGTACAGCCTTACAATTTTGTTCCCACACCATCAGCCACATATGGCCGGCGGTATGAGGTAAGGGTCCTTGCGTCAGGATATACTGCCTCTTAGCACGATCCACCTAATGTACAGAGGAACGAAACAACTTGAGTTACTTTAGCTACCTATCAGCCACGTACAATTGCCACTTTCACGATATACTCACCGGTATATAATTGGCATGGATGTAGTCACATACGCCTTTCTTAAGTATAACTCTACTGTGATCGTAAGGCGCCACATCCCGGTAGCGATTCAAATTTTTGTTCTGTGGTTTTTTTGATTCATTACATGTGTACGTATAACTGCCAGTCACGTTTCGTATATGCTGCAAAATATCAAGACATATGAGTTGTCTCTTTTTTTCTTACACAAATAAATATATATATAAACATACGAAGATATTTCTCCCTACAAGTCGCACTGCACATTAATACGTATTATGCGAATAGAAGTTCATTCATAAATGTTTCCTATGCCAAAGTATAATTCTCTTGCCAAGTTTTTTGTTTATATTTAGAGTCCAGCACACGTACAGGATATACTAACATTCAGAATCGTTAGAAATATATTCGAGAAGCTAAGCGAAAACATGTATTTATCAAAGAATCTCTTGATTTGCGGAAGACGGTAAGAAAAAATCATGACTGACGTAAATCAACAAACTCGAGCGTATCACGAACGCCGAGTTTCATCGTAGTAGAATCTCTCGTATTTCGCTTCGGGGAAATTGCACGATCGCTAAATATACTGAAACCATATATTTCCGAGTCGGAAGCTCGACCTTGAAGAACTCAATCATATCACGGCTTGCACACCGCACGCGCGCCGAGCCTGACGTGCACTGTCAATTTGACGTTAGCAGCCAAAATTATATTTTTCCCGGCGAGGAATAAGAAAAATTGGCTCGCCGTAAATATCACTTCGCGAGAGACCCGGAGCCATCGCGGAAAGATCAACGCGGGATTACGCGGGATCGCAGCGAATAGCGCGCGATGAATTCGCGAATCGACCGACGACGACGACGAATTAACATTATTCAGCGAATATAAATATTCCTCAAAACGATCGTGGCAAGCACGCCAAGATGTTGCGTCAAACGTACTTTTATCGCCGACAGAAAGAATGTCGTCAAGAACGCGCGCGTCAATCCGCTCGGATCTCGCGATAGGAAGTGCGATTAATCTTCGCGAATGCATACGAGTACGCGCATCCCTGTTGCATTCTAACCAAAAACATCACACCGTCCGTACACAATTTCGGCCGTTCCTGCGAGCAAACGAGACTCGAGTCGACGTACGGATCTCGCCGATACGCGTCTTACGATCGTCGTCGCTGACAACCGCTCGGCACTCAGGCGGGTTACATACACAGATTTCATGCGCATTTCCCGAGAGCGGAGCAGCTGCGGTAAAGGATAAGGGATGATCTCAGGGGAACGATAACGGGGGGGGGGGGGGG